GGGTTTAGGGTTTTGGGTTTGGGATGCAGGGTTTTGACTTAATAGTTAGAACAATATAGGGTGCTATGGCAGGGGTAACGATAAAGGTTACTATAAAGGACTCTAGAATATGTCGGCCTGGAATAACTAGACTGGGGAAAGGGGGGTTTATTACAGCATACGATAGCGCGATGTATTTTCAGGAATACTGAGGAACACTATTGGCAATTCTCTGGGCTTCTGTAACCCTAAACCCTAANNCCCAAAGACTCCAAAACCCCTTAATTCAGGAACATACCTTAAATCTCATTAAACCTCCTACTACAATTTATCTTCCTTAATTAAGGGGTTTTGGAGTCTCTGGGTATCTCTTGTTTAGCAAAGCGGTGTTTCAGCGTCTTCACTGTCAAGGGCCTCAGTGGTTTTAAGGCTTCGGATCGTCAGGCGGCTGGAGTTTTGTTTGCTCTGTCCCTTTTGCCAGTATGCGGTATAGAGTATAGAATATAAAGCATATATAATATAGTATACAGCGCGTGTGTGTGTATATATATATATGTATATGTACATGCATCTCTATGTCATACAAACACAAGCCATACAAGGATATTATATAACACCTACTACGTAACATATCATGGAGCCAGCAAGCACCAGCCTTTGGCGGCTCGAGGCCGAGGTTAGCCGAAGACCTGAGGCATGTGCGAGTCGCAGGAGTCCGGGCATGGGTTCCGGGTTTAGGGCTTAGATTTTAAGGCTTGGGGCTTAGGTTTTTTTTTGAGGAAGGCCTTTTTCCGTCTGCTAAATCCTAGCTCAGAGGGCTCAGGGTTTAGGGCTTAGGGTTCCGGGTTTAGGGCTTGGATTTTAAGGCTTAGGGCTTAGGGTTCCGGGTTTAAGGCTTCGAGTCTAGGTTTCATGGCTTAGGGTTCCGGGTTTAGGGCTTAGGGTTTAGGGGTTTAGGGCTTAGAGTTTGGGCTTAGGGCTTAGCGTTTAGGGGCTTAGGGCTTAGAGTTTGGGTTAAGGTCCCATAAACTCCACATCGAGAACTGTTTTCCATAAGGGTATCGGGGTCTAATCAGTCTAATCAAATATCAACATTGTAACTGGGAAGCCTAAGGACTAGTGGCAAGCTCCACCTGTATTAAGGCATTATAGGGGTACTATACTGGGTAGCTTTCTAAACTAAGGCCACCTTTTTAGGGGGTTCAGGGTTTAGTATTCCATGCTTCAGGGAGGTGCCAGAAAACAAAAACCACCCTAAACCCTAAACCTTTTTCGAGCACTGTTTCAGTCTCTGGGTTCGGGGCTGATGCATGGCTTTCTACATGGGTGGTTCCTATAATAAGGTTTTCTATAGGGTTTCTATAGGGGTACCTATCATGGGTAGCTTTCTGAATTAAGGTCACCTTTTTAGGGGGTTCAGGGTTTAGGATTGGAGTACCATTTGGTGTGGTTCTCGCAATTAGGGTCCCTTTTTAGGTCCCGCCAAAATAATACGGCACCCTTATA